CCACTGCCCTGGAAAAGCCAAGGCCATCTTAAACATATATAAGTAATAGGGAACTCCATCTTTTCTCAAGCATACCATTGTTCCTCTATCAGTTGATAAGCACTGTGGGCATGAAAAACATGAATCTGATGCAAAGAGATATGACAGCAGAAGGTCCTGTGGTTGTGTGCACCATGGTGTGAGCTGTGGAGGAATAAGGGTGACAGCAGACACACAAGATGGAGAAGCTAGAGTTGTGGCCAGTAGTTGGAAGTAAAAAAGGTGAAATCACCACAGAAAAACATATGGGATGCAGAAGCTGGAGGCAGTGATATGACTTACTAAAACCAGTAACAGAAATTGTCAGCTAATTACTGAGAATGCCAAAACTCACAAGTAGACAGCTGCTTTATAGGCTGAGGAAAAGTGAGATACTGTGACACAAAGGGACAACAGAGCAGATCAGGAAAGGAAGATGTCAGGGCAACTGTGCTCTTCAGGCTAGGACTGGTCATGGCCAAATTACAGATGCTCCCCTGCATTGCAAAATACTCGGGTGCAGTAAAGTCAGCTTTGCAAGTAGGCAAGCTCATGGATACAGCTCTGTCCCTTTAGATGTAAACCTCTCTCTTCTCTCATGCAGATGATGCGTTGACAATGATGGTCTCTTCCAACTCCAACACGTATGATTTCTCTATGAAGCTGAAGTAACTCTGCTGGAGTTGCAAATTGTTTCTTGAGCATCTGAGACAGTCCATAGATTTCAGGTTACCAGGAATGGGAACACCTTCACGTATTTGCTGACTCACCTACCCAGGAATGATACTTCCATGACACAGTATGTGCTAAATGTAAAGCATGCCCTAGAAAGGAGATGCACAAAAAGCCATGGCTGGGCTTTTTATTCAAGCAGTTTACTGATGTAATTCATAGAACCACTCAATGAATGCACCCCACTGCCATAGGCAGGGTCACTGGGTCAGACTGCTCATCAAAGATTACAACCTGATCTTGAACACTTCCAATGATGGGACATCCACATCCTACTTGGGCAACTTGTTCCAGTGTCTCAGCACCCTTACTGTAAAAAATTTCTTCCTTATATCTGTCGTGGTTTAACCTCTTAGTCACATTGTTTAGTTTTAGATAGTCCTGTGAGCAGCAGGGAGTTGGACTCAAGGATCCTTATGGGTCCCTTCCAACTTGAGATTTCTATGATCTTTACCAGGAAGCCCTGCTCTACTGTCAGGGTCTTGCTGGTAGAGGCTCTAAGCCAGTCACCAGTACTTCTAAGTTCCCCTTGCTATCATCAACGAAGCTTGGCAGCCCACTGCCTTGTAAGTACTACTGGCAGTGCTGTCCATTTTCAACAGTGTAATTAACAATTAACATCTGCTGTATCAAAGAGGGCAAACTAGTTGTTACCCAGCTAATGTTCTTCAAATATGTCTGAGTACCAAGAACACCTACTATTGATGAAGCAATTAAATGCTCTGTGAAGACCTTTTAAGTAATTACACCTGTCAACTTATTTTATATCATCTCATTAATAACAAAACCAAACTACTTTGTTTTGTTTTGTTTCACCACCAGCTTCTTGTGCCACCCTGGCTAATCAAAGTTCTTATAATTCAGCATTTTTTACTACTGTTAGGGCACTGCAAAGTGTAACACAACTTCAGCTGACACACAGTGCAAACAGGAGGTCTAAGAAGCACCTGCAAAATTTCTTTTGACTAAGTAACATCTTTAGAAAGCTGATCTTTTAGGCAAGGCTTTGAGTTCTATGAATTATAGTTATGTTACACTTTCAAAAATATGCCAAAACTTTTCATATAATTTTCTTATGATGTCTTACAGGCACTATAGTTAAGGTGGCAAAAGTTCCCTCCGCAACACAAGCATCTGTTGCCAGTATCTAGAGTTGCATGATCATGCACAGAAACATGCAGGGCAATGAAAAGAAACAATGCACCTCTTTCTAATAAAAGAACAGGACAAATTTGTAGAAGTGTACATCATACATTTAATTACTGAACAGCTCTCTCAACTCCAAAATCGGGCACAGGGATTAAAAATAAAAATTCATTCCACTACCTAGTAAAGCATTACTAGTAACTCTCATAAAAAATGTACAAATATTTGTTAAAAATTTATCAAGCCTTCAAATGTTTTGGTTACAGATATTTATCATACATTTAAAACTGTGTATTAAGTGATACATTAGAGTATATTTTAAAAGAAAACACCTGAAAATATGATTCCAACAAAACCCATAAGCTTTCATAATCATTAGCAAATCTGACATAGAAGCAGCAAAATGAGGTAACAATGTACCAAAGAAAAATCATAGCTTTTACAAAGGTCCAAAGATAGTCAAAAACGTGTTTTCTACAATTAAAATTTTAAAAGTTGGTAAATTTCATTCCAAGTATTACACCATGTGTTAACATCTGTAAAATCACATTCAAGAGCCTATATAAAATGGCATACAAAAAAAGGCTTAAATTTTTTTGTACAGAAAGCCACAAAATGGGACATTGGAATTACCTGTAGGCCTTGATATCCCCTAAAATGTCAAATTAAATTGAAAGTTTATGCAAAAGCCACAGCACTACCAATATGGTAAAGCAAACATTCTACAAGGTTTTTCTGTTTGGTTGGTGTGGTTTTTTTTTTTTTTTGAGAAGGAGCCAAATGATGGCAGAAAGGCAATTAACATAAAAAATGTCTTGCTGAATTCAGGTGCTGCCAGACACCATGGCAGGCTGTGAAATCACACACAAATGTGCATAACACATGGCAGTTAACAGCTAACACGAATCCCCCTCCCCTGAAAGCCATAGCAGAGAGGACCTGGTTGTAGCTTGTTTGAGCAGATTCAGAACATAGGCACATGTGTTTATACACACTAACCACAGGAAGCAATCCCACATACATCTGCAATAGTCCCATGCAAATGAAAGAACCATTTCAGAAGAGATGAGCCATAAGAGTGCAAAAATTAATTTCAGGATTTTACCAACTTAGACCCTCCATGTCTGAGATCTCCCACTGCCTCAGAGTTTTACTGGGTAAAAACGGTCATTACACATCAAGTTTTCTGCAGTTCCAGAAAGAGGACTACCTTCCCTCAGCTTCAGAATAATGTGTCTTGTTCATTTATATCTATCTACCTTAGTAAAAGTACCCTCTTTTCCATGCTTCAAACTGAATACTGAGCACCGTAATGTTAATTATGTTTAAATCTGTAAACACGGATTTTTTTCTTTTGCAGACATAGAAAAGAGCCTATGTTTTGTAAGACATATGTGGCATATGCTTCTTAAACAATATGATTTTATTCGTTAAAAACTAAATTTTATTACATGTAATTTAACCTGCCAGGTGCTATTGTGAAAAGCCTATTCTTAACTCCACTGCAAGAGAGGAGAAATTCTAGTATTTTCAAGTTGATGTAATACCATTTTTATTTTTTTGGTGTTCTTAAGCATGGATAGGTATGGAAAGTCACACTGTTTTTGAGAACTATCTGCATAACTAAACAGAGGAAGCAGCATCTATAATAAGGCAAAATTGTGATTTTATTTTACCTGCACCAAGAGCTGTGACTGGTCTGTAGAATCTTCAAAGGGGGAAATCAGCATAAGGAACATTAAACACTGAAATTATAACTGATACTAAGGCATAGCAGCATACGAAAGCATCAGCAGTTATATAGACTTAAAGCTGAGACTGGCAGCAAATTGCAGCAATATTACTAATTGTGCCACTTGTGTTGCTGCAGCCAAAGTAATGACACTGAATTTAGAAGAATTTTATTGCAAAAAGTTCAGCCGTCAAGTAACTATGGTATATGCAGACCTAAGTATTTTGCTAGAACATATCAATGATGTTAACAGTCGGAACATTTAAATAAAGCTAAATTCTTTTAGTCCAAATAAAACATTATTCAGAGCACTTCAATAGAGGTTACTACCTCCTATTTCAGAGTGCTGTTCTGGAAGGTGTTCCTATTTTCTCCTACAGTGGAGTGCTCTGGAAACTTGATTGCAAAACCCAAGGGAGTTCGTTCTTCATATTACACTCATCATGAAATAAAGAAAGGCAAGAAGCAGCATCAGGGCAACTTAATTCTGCAGTTAGTGACCAAAACCCACCTTTTCTTGTGATACAATGAAAAAAAATCAGAAGTTTTACTTCTCTGAGAAAATGTTAAAAATTTAATTTTATTTGTGAAGTTGCAGGAATAAATTGGTAACCTTTTACAAGTCATTTTAGTTGTATACAAACTTCCTGGTACATGACAAAGAAAGTATGTGATTAAAGCCAGTTTATAAGATAAAAGATTATGTCCTTAGCAAGTACAATTGCCAAAAGTGAAGAGCTGTTGCACAAGACCTTCAGTGTCCTTTCTGCTTCCTTTCAAGGAATAAGCCCGTAACTGACAAACCCAGCTAGAAAAATTTAAAAGTAGAATAGAAGAGCACTGATATTCATATTAGCAATGGAAAATGTTAATATTGCTAAATGATTTGTGCAATACTGCAACTTTACATTGATAAAATAACTTGTAAATCAGCCATTTAAAAATCCAGACTTTGTAACATATGCTAAAATCCCCAATGTTACTCATGTTTGAACAATCAATGCACTCTTTAGTGGTACACATTTAAAGCCTCCAATAAACGGGAAGCATAACAGCTGCTTGAATAGTAGGTAGAAAGGTTTTTATACCTGTAAGTATATTAGGAAGGAAATACTAAACGTCTGTAACTGTTGCACCCATGGCATTCAGTGTGCAACTGCAAACACAAGGAAAGGAACCAGTGTACAGTACTAGTACTGTTTAAATAACACGATTATACATACATTGCAGCATAATTATTACTACACACATACGTTCTCAGTACATGCTGGTATATAGGTTCTCAAACACACAAGCACACTTCACACATCCTTCTCACAAGCAAACACACATTCTCACCATCCATTCCCACTCACAGTATCTGAAGGCTCTATATAAGGTAGATTGCTATATTGTTTGGACCTACCACCTTTTTTTTTTTTTTTACTTTTATATAAAAGCACATGCTCAAAGATCACGTCCACAGTAATCTCGCAGCAACACTCAGAATGATCACATAAAAACCAGGGAATGTTAGTGCACACACAAAATTAAGCTACCAAAAGAAAACGTCTTTGGAGTTCCAATCATACTGTTAGTAAAACAATCCCGTAAATGTGAAGAGTAATTATAAGCTTTATAATTGATTAAGTCACACAGTGCAAAGTAAGGTCCACTGACCCTCTTATGTAAAGGGTAGGCTGGAAGCCACATGGATAAGTTCAATAGATAGTTCATATATACATGTGACTGGGAATACTCAAACCGGATTTGTGCTCTTAAGATTGGTTATTCTAAATCACGATGCACTTCCGAAGCATCAGCTCTACAAATTGGGCAGGTACGATTTGCCTGTAAAACCAGAAACAAAAGAAGGTTTTTACTGTACTGACACAGACATTGTTAGGGTAATGTGTATACGACACTGACATCTGTGAGTACTGAAACGCAATTCAACAGTACTCAAGAGAAGAGAAAGTGTGCTTAATGCCTTTTTTTACAGCTTGTTTTGTTATGTTAGAGTGATGGGGTAAGTTTACCAATTCAAAATTACATGTCTTTTATACTTAAAGCCAAACAGTAAACTAGGCTTTATCTACATCATGGTGGTTTTACTGAGGCAGATTCATAGTTACAGGATATTGCAATCAGATGCAACTAAGAAGCTGTACTGTACGCTGCAGAGAAACCCACCCAAATCAGACTTGGTCTGCAAATTCTGTATTTTGCAGTTCCCAAAATTGCAGGACCAGCCACTGTCAACTCCATGTTTTCTAAGGTAGCCAAATTTTTCAATGAAAATACAAGTGAGAGAATCAAGAAATGTGGCTCTGCAGGCCAGAGATCAGAAATCACAGCCACAAATTCCAAATTCAAACAATAAATGCCAATGAAAGTAACATGTTATTACTGAAAAACGTTATTTAGTAATGCAAGTTAAAATGAGGTATATTTTTTCCGTCAACTACTACGATTATTACTGTTTCACCATTTATATGATAGTTATTATTGCTGATAGTTGGCATAAAGCATGGATTGGAGAATCAATTTAAAATTTATTTGCTCTTTCACTAGCAGTTTTGAGATTACTTGAGGACAATGCCATTGCTTGGTCACTACGTTGTATCTGCATTATTCTAGATATAATTTGGCTAGTGTAATTTTTAAAATAAAATTAAATTCATGAAATTAATTCCCTCTTCTTGAAATTTAACATGACTTTTTGGTGCAAAAAGAGTAAGGTGGAGATAATATTGTAATATTGATGTTGTAACTAGCCACTCTTTCAGGCACACTTACTTTTTGTACTGTAAGGGGAAAGAGGTGCACAGTGAACTAAAGTTTTTTTTATTTTATAGAAATTTATAGCTAAAGTGAACAGCATTTAGCATAATGAATCTGTAGGACTACTAGAATCCTTTGAAAAGCATTGCATTGCTTTGGTGTTAGTCCATCAGAACCAAGCTAAACTACAGTTACAGATTGCTTTTTCTCACAGTGCAGCCAGCAGGACTAGGGCAGTGATTGTCTCCCTGTGCTTGGCACTGGTGATGCCGCACCTCAAATACTGTGTTCAGTTTTGGGCCCCTCACTACATGAAAGACACTGAGGTGCTGGAGCGTGTCCAAAGAAGGGCAAAAGACCTGGGGAAGTGCCTAGAGCACAAGTCCTGTGAGGAATGGCTGAGGGAACTGGGGATGTTCAGACTGGGGAAAAGGAAGCTGAACCTAAGGAACCTTATCGCCGCTCTCTACAATTACCTGAAAGGAGGTTGTAGGGAGGTGGGTGTCAGTCTCTTCTGCCAAGTAACAAGTGACAGAACAAGAGGAAATGGCCTCAAGTTGTGCCACACGAGATTTAGATTGGATAAACAATTAGGAAAAATTTCTTCCAAGAAAGGGTTATCAAGCATTGGAAGACGCTGCCCAGGGTGATGGTGGAGTCAGTATCCCTGGAGGTATTTAAGAGATGTGGTGCTAAAGGGCATGGTTTACTGGTGGACTTGGCAGTTCTAAGTTAACATTTTAACTTGATGATTTTAAAGATCTTTTCCAACATAAACAATTCTATGATTCTATATGTAACAGAGCATTATATATAATACAGCATCAGAACATTAAAAGTAAAGGCAAGTTTTCCTTTTTATCTGGTTCTAAACCTTCAAGATGAAGACAGGACATGTTTTCAAGCTGGCCTTTGGAATGATGACTAACTCTTACTTTACAAAAGAACAGATTTCTCATGTTTTCATATTTGACTGAAGGATTAAGGACATTAAGAAATCATAGAACAAAATAAAATATATAACCAAATACTGTGAAATATGAGAGTTGACAGTACTATGAAAAGCAAAAGGATAATCTCCTTCCTGTTGTTTCCTCCACTGCATACATCTTCTCTCACAAGTCTTTAACCTTGTTTAACCAATATAAATTAAAGTGGCAACCTAATGCACAGGAAAAGAATATTTCCTCTCATTTAGTCATACCTGGTCCTGTACGTACCATTACACTAGCAGGGCTGATCAAACCTTTCATGCATAGACAATCAACAAAACTTTCTTAAGATACCCTTTTTTGTTCATCATCCCCAAGTGCAATAAGGTGTGTTTGTTTTTTTTTTTAAATAATCAGATTGGTTCACTAACATCTTATTTCAATATGTCACTAACAATATGGTGAAAATTAAATTAATCAACCTGATTCCATAGTTTTAGTTTTAGAAATATTCCTAGATAGCAAATACTTTCTTCAAAGAGATAAGATTAAATCAGTAAAACACAGGGACAAATTACTGACTTTTTTCTTTTTTTTTTTTAAGTTGTGGAAAAACGTTACAAGTACTGAAAGCTACAATTTTTACCTTCCCTTGCAGAATTTATGAACATGATACTGGCTGGATGATGTGAACTAAATGGATGTGGACATAATTATGCTATCAACATATAAAACAAACTGTCAAATACATAAATAGACAGAAGCAAAATTATAACACAAAGTATCTTCCAGTCATCCTCACTTCCAGATTTTTGCTGCTTAACTGTAACCAACTTTAGACAGAGGCTATAACTAAAATAGGCTGGCCTTACAGGTAATTTGTTACAGTTTACAAAGCAAAATAATCTTTTGTTTCCATACGCTATCTTTGTACCAGCATAACTAAACCCACATGGTATAAAGAAAGATACTGCCTTAGCAATCCTATACTATGATGCTTTAACCTTGTCTAGCTTATTTTGCATTCAAATCTGGAATACATGATGTCAAAACAAGTAGTTTTAGGCACGTGTAACTGCACCCCCTTTAGGCTTAGATTGCGCATCTTTCACCTCATTCCCCCACCTAGCTGACACTCGTGTTCATAAAGTATTTCTATGATAAGACAACCATTAGAAAATACCACACTTGATCTGTTAGCTTTTTTCTGATGTTCCTGTCCCAGCTTTGAAACTATGTATTTTCTGTTTCACCACTACTACAGTACATCTATGTTTATGAAAATAAAGACTAAATTAAGTCTGCTTTTTTCACTTTGCTGTTCCGAATTAGATTGTCAGTTAATTACCAGTTCAAAGTACTAAATCTAACTGTAGAATGGCCACACTGAGTCCCAAAAAAACCTTATTCAACATCAACATTGTCTGACTGTTGAGAACAATGTCAGGTAAGGAGGATAAGAACAGTTCAAGCATGCATGATACTTCCCTGACATGTTCTAACTTTCACCAATCTGCAGATCAGGGCCTCTATGAATCAGAGAGGAATTTTTTGTGTGCATTAATAGCCTGAAAAGAGGTGTCTTTAAAAACCTAAATAATCCATTTAACCTTCATAGACCTATAACATCCAATGTCTCACAGGCTGTATCAAATGATCTTAGCTCTTCTTTGATAAAATGTAGTGAATACTATTCCTGGATGCTCTGTCCACACCACAAATTACTTATAAAACTGCACCATCTAGCATAAATATATTGATAATATTATGCATGTGGGGTGCGTGTGTATGTGGCATTTTAATCTGACAATAAAATAATAGGTGTTTACGTTCTTCTTGCTGATTCTCAATTATATACATGGATTCAGATACTGAAGGACACCAGGTCTACTGAAAGTTATGAGCATTGTTATAGAAACATTTAGACTGGTCTTATATTCTGTAGAAGCCTTAAACTACCATCTGTACTGTAGCCAAAGGGCAATTTCATATCCAAGTTTTTAAAATCCTTCTCATTATTCTTGATATGTTGTTATCCAAAAGAATGCTCTCAATATTAACTTGATTTTTTCATTCTCTGCACTGAATATTTTCGTGTATGCCTAAAATATGCATTTTCTTGCTTTTATGAAGCCACAATGTTTCTGAAACAACAGACACCATCAGTAATTCCCTAGGGATGTAATCTGTACTAACATAAGATCATTGCAGTTTCAAGTGTTGTACACAACAGACTACACACAGATTAAACTAAAGCTGAATACGAAAAATCAAAAAAGGTGAGGCAAGATGGGGTTCAGTACCTTGTTGCAGTAGACCTGTCTAATAAAGCCTGTAGAGATGTCTGTCTATCATCATCATCTTATTTGTATTTCCTGTTCTTCACACCTTCTCTACTGCTGCTATTTTCTCTGTCCTCTTACTGGGCTGCCCTGATTCTAGTTGCTTTCTTTTCTGCTAAAATTCTCTTGGAAGGGTTATGTCATAATTTTGCAAAACTGTAATTTCTATTTGTATACATTAAACATATATATATGTATATATGCATACACATATATGTATGCACATAACATTTTACTTGCCCGAGGACCTAACATTAGTAACTGGGGGGGGGAGGAAGGTATTAGCACTCATTCTTGCTATGCAGGGTATCTAAAAAACTTAGTCATTATCATCACAGAAACCCTAATTCATACTTCCTATGTATTATGATGTTACTTTTTTGTGTAAATCTTCCTTAATCCCACATACTACTTGAATTCACAGTCATTGTTTTGTGCAAATGGAAAACAGAGTAAGATTTGTCAATGAAAATAATTCTCATTGTATTATTTTTTTTATTTTGTGTCAGATTATAAAGAAACATACTTAATGTTTCCAAAATATTGTAAGTAGGCATTGTTTCCAATCTGTTGGTATTTCTAGCCTAAGTATTAGAAATGCGAAACAAGATGAAGTGGAACAGCAAAACACTCCCAACTTCTTCCCCCAAACTACAGAATGAGCTCCCTTATCAGACAGTGATTTTTTTTAATCCTCCTTACCTTCAGCCATTTATCAACACACTTGGCATGGAACTCATGGTTACAGGGTAAGACTCTAAGTAGCTGCCTTGACTCAAAATCACACATGCACACCACACACCTAAAAAAGATAACGAAGTTCAAATATATCTGCTATGCAAGAACAAATACATATTCCATACAAAACTTCACAGATAAAACTACAACATCGTAACTCTTTTACCTCTCGGATCACAATAGTTACCTATACGTGAGGTTGAAGATGCGTAGTGTGACAATGTAAACTGAGAACTACTTCTGTGGGTTTTTCCTCTGATCTTTCAAAACACAAAGCAAGTGTCCCTGCTCGCAGGAGTTCACAGACCCAACCAATACAACAGATGTTTAGTCAAAATTCAAAATGGGAGAGAGAATGATCTATGAAGTTCACTCCCCAGTGTTGCTAGTAAGGCACACTGAGGGTCACTGAAACCAGAGTATCAGAGAAAAATCCTTAGAGTGAAGTTCAAACAGACATTTGGTACTAAGTCACTTCAGTATTACACTGCCCTTTCCACTTGGTTGTGCAGATGTTTCAAACACAGTAAGTTAAGACATTTTAAAAATAAGACGATGCATTCTTAAACCACTGACCAAGCTCTAATAGGAGCACTTGAAACTTCAGCGCTTGAAGCTATTTTAACACAGACTAGACTCCAAGTTGACAAAGTTATTTTATGTATATTATGCTGAACAAAACATAGAACACCTTTCTTTTTATTTTTTTAAATGCAGAGGACTAAATTGAAACAGCTAAATGATGTGAGACTAGATACAGTTTTTAAAGTAAGGATAAACAGTATTCGATCTGGAAAGCAATACAAGAGAAAAAAAAAAAATTAAGCTGTTTACTGACATGAGTGCTTTTAAAACTCTTCCGGCCTAGCTGAGGCAGGCTGGTTGTTAAAGAAATGAAAATACAGCCACCTAAATTACAGACCTTTGTCAAAGACCAATGTACTTACAATGTCTGTTCTGACTGATGGTTGTTTGGATTGAACCTGTAGGATGGCAGCTGCTCAATGTCCGCCTTTGTTAATCCTCGTGGTTTGGCTTCTCCCAGACGTTCTGCCAAATTCAGCAGTGCCTAAAAAACATGGAAACTGGACATTTAAAAATTCACTGTTCAAACAGGCTATAGTTCCAGTACAGCTGGGGCTGCCATTATACCTCACTACCCCAACTGGTAGCACAAAACACCTGACTATCTAGAAATATTTAGAACCTTAGTTCTCGCTTACAACACAAGCCTTGTGTTGTAGACAATGAAAGTCTTTCAGAATTCAACCATCTTTCTAATTATGTAAAATGTTCTCTTTGGGATTTTAAAACCTTCAGGACCCAACTTTCAATTAATTCTGTGGCTGCATGCACAGCTTGGTAAATATTTTGCTTCTGAAGTATCCCCTCACCCCACTATGAAATTAATAGTGCTGGTAACCAGAAAAAATCATCAACAAAATTGCTTCCTAAGAATATGTTGAGTCTGGTCTTGAGAGAATAAACAAGAATTTGATCTAAAATGGAGAGATTTTATCATGAATCTGGGAAAAAAAAAGTGCATACAAAACTTCAAGCACTTCTGGGTTTTTTTACTGAATTCTTTTGTTCCTTTCCTAGAAGCCAAGCATTGCAACTAAAAGACTCATGTAAATAATTTGCACTGTTGCATATGTAAATTGCAATCCTTCATAACGGACCTAGGAAAAATATCAATATAAATGTGATGGAGGGCCAAGGCACAGAAAAGTTAAAAGCTCCCAATAGTACTGATCACAAGGAGATTTCCAATGCTCTCAAACCTAGGGCTCCAATTTTCAGAAACAAGATGATGCTTTTTCTGAACTAGCATAGAAGTTATTACAGAACTGCTCATCGTTAAACTGAAAATGTGCAACTACGCAGCGCTCTTAAGGGAAGCACAGGCAAAGAGATGCAAAATTAAGGATTGATAATGCCTGTCTGAAGAGAAATCAAATGGAATCTAACAGTTTCAGAACCAGCAAAGACAACAGCTGTGACTGTGACATAATCACCTAAGATATTAAAGAGGGTTCTACATCCACAGTTGTGATTTACTGTACCCTCCTGAGGGCCAAGAAGAAAAGGCAGTAAGGCAGTTTTATAAACATTACATTTTAGACTGATGAATCCTGTGACATTAGCGCTATTCTGTATTAACTGTATTCTGCAAAGTTACGCACATAAAATCAGTAACTTACCCTGTTCTTTTGAAAGTGCTTCACTTCTGTTTGATATTTAAAATCAATTAAAATTCAAAAGGAGAAGAGTAGCATGTAGAAGATAAAAGCTGAACAGTTTAATGATTACTAGCCTGGAAGGGTGGATTCTGGGAAAGAGCAATAGACAAAAAAATAAAGCTAAGCACTTCTAATATCCAGTATTGCAAAAAAAATCTGAAAGGATGGTTTCTGGATTCTGTCTTCATAGTGATTACATTTATTTGAAAGGCAAAAGCAGGATTAAAAGCAAAATATAATAAAATTTTATGTACTGCTTGAGCTAACATCTGTTCTTTAAAGGTAGCTGTAGTTTGCACACCAACCTCATAGTTTTCTACCTCTCCATCTTCCACATCCAACTCAAAGCTGAAAGCTGGTCCAACTGCAGGTGGCACTGGGAGCATTGATCTACCATGAGAGCAAACAAT